AAATCAATGATCATTTCACAGTAGACTGTTCAAAGTACCATGAAGTTTATATGACCTGTCATAGACAAGAAATGCTGATTATTGCACTAAGCCCTATCCTGCCTCACCCCCTCAGTCCTAAAATTATAAAATGTCTAGGACAAGATTGTTTTCTACTTAAAAAAAAAACTTTGTGAAAGTAACATGATTCTCTTTCTTGCCACCTGACGCATGTTTGTGGATTGTACATTGTGTTGTAATTTTAATAATATATCCCACAGTGCTTTAAAAAGCACCAGTAAGGTTTAACAACTGGACACTTTCTTCAGTATTATGCATCTATTTTTTCAGATGTACTAAATTTCCTTATGATTGAAATTATTTTGTTTCTATTCTTGTAAACATTTTCAAAACCCTAACAAAGTTAAAATTAACATTAAAATGAGAATATTCACTTTGAAAAATATTCGCATTGTGAACTGCCCAGAAAGTTTTGACTATTAGGTATCTGTGTATGTGTATAAAATCTTCCATTACAGAATTAGGGCTCAAATTAACATGTGGATAGAGTAGAATAAACTTTTGAACATAGATTCATATATTGTAAAAAATGATAAGGCTGAAATCTTGTACGCATTTACTTGGAGTAAGTGTAATCTGATTAGACACACACAAAATTATACTGTCAGAATCTCTTCTGCTTTCATCCTAACACTTTTTTTTCCTTTTAAATGGAAGAAGGTTTCCTGGGGAAAGAAAACTAGGTGACAGCCACCTTGATCAATGAAGGTGATCTTGGAGAATACACCGAACCATACTGAACTATTCATTCTTGGGAATGTACAGAAAAAGGTAGCCCCTGGCACTTAAACAATTCCTGTTTCTTAATATAGGCATTTGAAGATCTTTCAGGCAACAAACAATTTTTTTATATATATATAATTCTACATTTGAAAAAGCATCCAACAAAAGTAAATCACGAGTAGCAGTGAAAGGGGTGATAGCTCTTGAAGAAAATATATCACTATATGGGCTGCTTCTTTGATTTTGCAATAAATAAGAGGCACCCTCAAACAGTCTTTCTATGAAGTTCTAATTGTTCATGACACAAGCTTTCGGCAACCCACAAAAAACAATAACAACCCCATCACAAAACACCAAAGAAAAACCCCATAAAGAATGTTTTACTGAAATGGGCCCCAATTCTGCTACCAAAGTGGTAGATGGGATTTCTGCTATTGATTTCTAGAAAAGCAAGGTCAGGCTTCAAGTGTGAAAGGAGAGAAAAAACCCTTCTTCTAAAATAAATATCTTTGTAAGAGCCCACTAAAAAGACCCAGGATTCAAACACATTCCTTCTGGAGATCAAGGATGTCCGGCCTTTGAAGCCTGAAGGGTTGGGGCGTTTCGCAGTCTGTGTGGCAGTCACAGTGTGGCATTAGAAATTGTGCATTTGGAATTGTAAAGCATTTTAAATGGAATCTTTCAGAATTCCACAGCTGGCTGGTGAGTGACAGCCTGATATAGCCTGGGGCAGGGAGAGAGATGACATTGTTTGGATTAAAGTTAAAATGATCTCCTTGTGAAGAGATGCTTAAGAACATTTTGGTAAAAAGAGATAATAAAATAGAATGCAATATATTGACTGAATTCAGGTTTGCAACATAGTTAGGAAACTTTGCCCACAAATAAAAAGCTAGAATACTTGCATTTATGCCAATTTAATACCATTCAGCAGTTTTCAGTGCGATTCTGAGCATGTTTAATGAGAACTGTGATTGTATTCTATAAGATTACTCCCAAGTAAGTGTGCATAGGATTACAGTCTTAGCTAAATGCTGTACACACTTACCTGGGAGTATAGACCATTGAATTCAGTGAGACTTACTTAGTAAATTTGTAAAGGGTTGTGGTGTTCTAGCACTAACCTAAAATGTTTAGTCAGAAATAAGTCCCATTCACTTCAGTGGTACATGCTCCCAGATAAGTATGGCTAGGATTGCAATCTTAGCTTTTTTTGTTACATTGTTTAAATTGACATATGAACCAAAGCCAGGTATGCTTCCATATGAGGTTTTTATTATGCCATTGCTATTGTCTTTCTATTATCATTCAGACGAAAGGGGGGGAGAAGCTATTCAGACAAAGGGGGGGGGGAAGCTGGAAGGTCTGTAAGCATGCAAAGTCACTCGTATGAATAAAATTTTGTATGCTTTATTCTACTTCCCCATTGCTAGAACTATTAGCAAGGGAAAATCTGTGTAACTGGGAGACATTGCATACTGGGATGAGAAGGACTGTACCATATCTTGGTTCGACAATTTAACACAGACTCTTGTAGGGGCATTCTCAGAGGGTGACAATATAAAATGGCAATATTTTTTGATCCAAATTCTGTTGTTGCATTAATATTTAAATTATAGAGGTGGCATTTTTGACAGATGCTCAGAGCTCTATTTTAAGTCTTAAAATAATTATGTGCAGTGTAAGTGACTTTAACAGAGCTTTATCCTACTCTATTAAAGTCACTCACTACCAAGTAGTTAGTTATTCAACACCTCACAGGACAGAGCCCAACAGACTTTTTTGTTTGTTTTCAGTAACAACAAATAACACTTTCCAATAAATGTCATACATGCAGAAGAGCTTTTTGCGCTGATTTGTCTTCGGCTGCTTCTGTGGAGAAGTAAAACCCATGAAGCATGATTTGGAGAAGACTGCACCCCAAATTCAATGAAACCCTTTTTATCCCCCTTAATCCCTTGATAATTTTTTGTGCTTCTCTTGTAGAAAAGCAATTTTGCTAATCACCTTTGTGCCGATGCCTGCATTCCTGACAATAGCGTGAACAACTTCCATCAAGTCTTTGATGTGGGAAAGACACACACACACACACACACAGTTGCACACACGTGCGCGCGCACACACGCATGCACACATAATCTGAAAACAATTCCATTCCTTGCTCCTCAATGGAGAGCACTCTGCTTTAATAGAGAGCTGATTCTGTGGAAGTTTTCTAATCCTTTCTGCCAAAGAAGAGAGAGACTCAGCCAGGTAGCCCACCTTATTCAGGAGTTAAAATAACATGGTTTTGCTCTCAGAGAAAATCAAAACAACTCAAGATCAAAACCAAATTTCCCCAACCCTAACGGGACAGCCTCTCTACTCAGATAACTCTTGATCTAAGTGTGTAACAAGTAACTGGCTTTAATCCCTCAAAGTGATGGCGTTACAGATAAGTACCTTGCTAGTATCAGAGGTGTCTTGAATTTCAGAAATACACAAAAGTGTTAGCTGGAAAGAAAAACAAAACAGACAAATCTCATCCACATGACCTATGTCTTTTGCTGAAAAGGTACAAAGCTCAAGCAGCATAAAGAGGAAGCCTTTGAAAGAGGAGTGCAAATAAATGAATGAAGAGGTAGTTTTTTGATACTGTGGCTATTGACTTTTGGTTAGGTTAAAAGTTTTGCAAACTACTTTGGGTTGGAATGGGCGGTCTGAACAATATTCTAGAAAGACAAGGCCACATGGACACATCTAAAGTCAAGGAAAATAAGTACCTACTTGGAACACAAATGAGATTACACTTCCTGGTAAACTAAAACTTGGGCTTACCCATCCTATTTGGTTTGGGAAAAAGACTCAGAAACACAAGAGCAAAATCAAAAACTGGTTGTCTGGAAATATAAAAAGTTGCCTTTCCCTATTTATTGCTGCCAGTTTCTATATTTGCAATCTGAGGATCAGTTCTGTCAATGTGAAATAAATGAAGACTTGTGCTTAGCAAGAATTTGATGGGATGTTTGTGTGTGAAAACTGGATGGATTTTTCTGGTTTGGCCCCTTGGCTTTTGTTTCATTTCCCTGCCCCCTGCTGGCATTTACTCAATCTGTAGTGCCTTCAGCTGGTATGGGGATTGGTTTTTTTAAAATGTCAGCAACAGGCACAATTTGGGAGGGGGGATCCCTTGAAATCTGTCATTATTTTTAGTAAACACTTTAGTTGGTGATCTTGTGTATCTATGACTACATGACCACCTGTGTATTATGTACAACTGCAGAGGCAATATTCTCCCTTTGTAAATGACCTTGTCAATTTCATCACTCCACATACTACTAGGTTTAGCCCAGCAGAGGCATATTTCGTACTTGTCAAAGAACTTGTTAATTGCCTTCCTGCCCCACTTGGAAGTAGAGGATGAAAATGACAAATTCTCTCCTAAGCAGGAAATATGTCAGACATGGGAATCATATGCATTAATTGAAGTTGTCATATCAGAATTAAAATAGTTGTTGTTTCTATTTCTTGTATGTGGTTTTTTAAATTGACATTTAGTACAACAACAGGAGATGGGAGCCATGTTTTGTCCCATTTCAAAACCTGACCATGATTGTAGCTCAGTTACTTTCTCCCACAGAATCCAGTCTATTGACAGAAATCCAGTCTGTCATACTGATGCAGAGCAATCCTATGGCTCCTACACAGCAGTTAAAGGGCTATACATTTTTTTAATTCTCAAAGTCAAAGCCCTTCAGCTCCAGTTCTGGTGATACACACTTAGATCCCCCTCCCCACTGATCTTGGAGAAGGGGCTTAGGGGGCATTCCAGAGGACAGGGAGGGGAGGAGGCAGACCACCTCAGCCTCCCCCCCCCCCAAAGCACTGCAGTTAAATGGTTGAAATCAGTCGTGTAGCTTCTTTGCAGAGCTGAAGAAGCATGGAGGTGACCTTCACCCCTGTAGCTTTGCACAGAATGTATGTAATCCTTCAAGTTTGGAGGACTACAGACACCACCAAAGGATTGTGTCCTTAATGCTTTAATATGTCGTACTTGTTTCCAGCCTATGAACAAATACGATGGCAGCAAACATTCACTGGTCTCTTAGATTGACTTATTAAACCATATGATCATTTATGTATAAAGCTGTACAAATGCAAAGGCATATAGAGAACATCCACTTTGTTGGAGGTCCCACTTGTTCTATCTTGTTGAAGAATTATATGTATAAACTTACCTGAGATGTTTGCCGATGATTGTAATTTTTTCACTGCCATGAGTTGTTGTTTGGTTTGTTGCAATTATTTCTGGTGCTATACTCTGAAAACTTTGAAAATAATACACAAATATTAGACATTGTTGGGCTTTTTGTTTGTTTTTAAAACACCAGGCATGCTCCAACACTAAGCATGTTTAAAATAGCTCCTTGAATCACAGTCATGAAATAGAAATTAATGCAAGAAGGGTACCACTTTCTATAAAGGCAAAGAATACATGGGTCAAGTATGAAGCTCCTCCATACAGGACAAAATATAAGTTTTATCTTGAAAATAGACTTTTACATGAATAAAATAATTCCTTTTTATGGTGACATGTATAATGGTATTAAAAGTTTAATTTTATTCCTAAAGTTTGTTTTTTCTTTTGTTTTTGGAAGAGTTTCTCCTCCCCTCCCCTCCCCTCTAACTAGTAGTAAAACAGGTTTAAAACAGCAATTTTATATTATGTAAGCCATCCTGAGCACTTGTGCAGAAGGACGGGATACACATGCTTGTAATAATTAATAAATAATAAATAAATTAGTGTTGCACAGATTGTGTTTGCTTTCCTGGTGGCACCCTTAGGAACTACCCATGCCATGGTGTACCCTTATAGTCTATGGAGATAAGAGTCTGTCCACTTCACTACCTTGAGAAGACTGCTCTACAATAGTAGTTGGGGCAGTGTTATAACTCTGTTCATTGGACTATGTTCCCCTGAATTCAAGCTGTGAAGCAATGTGTTGGTTGGAGAAGTCTGTCACCTAGTTAATGAAGATGGGACGGCAGGTTCCAAAAATACTGATGCATTAAAATAATGTTATTTTAAAAAAACTTTTAAGGCATCCTTCCCCAACCTGGTGGCCTTTAGGGGCATTTGGACCCATATCTAAACCTGAACTTAATAAGCCTGAAGGAAGCCTCAAGCAGAGAGAGACTGAGGAAGCATCTCCCATGGAAACAGACAAGTTTTGCTCTAAGGAAGTGTGCCACCAGAAGGGCATGTGCTTCAAACCAAGACTGTTAGTCTGGGGATACACAGCTGGGGAGGAGTGATATGACTTTTCTTTGAACAAGAACCTCTAGGTTGGATGGGCCTTAGTGTGGTCCATGAGTAGAGAAAATGACTTCCAAATAAAAGCTGTTTGAGTTTACCTTGAGAGTCTTGTGGATATGGAGGAAATGGAAGAGGGTATGTTTAATACACCTCTCCCTGAGGATGGGTTCACAAATAGTCTTAACATTTTAATCCTATCCAAGTCTACTTGGAAGCAATATCCATTGACTACAATAGCTATTACTCCCAGGATAAATTTTGGATTTCACCCTGAAGAGAGCCAGTGTGGTGTAGTGGTTAAGAGCATGGGACTGGGACTCAGGCGATCTGGGTTCTAGTCCCCACTCAGCCATGGAGCCAACTGGGTGACTTTGGGCCAGTCACAGACTCCCAGTCCAACCTACCTCACAGGGTTGTTGTTGTGAGGATAAGATGGAGGAGATGTAAGCTGCCTTGAGCCCTTTGTAGGAAAAAGGCAGGATATAAATCGAAAAATAATAAATAAATAAATAAAGTTACAATTCCCAACCTGCTTACCTATGTGTAAGTCAATTTGAACTCAATGGAACTAATTTCTGAGTAGACCTTGTCAGATTGTGCTGCATATCTTTCTATTTTTACATCCCATGAAACAAAATTTATCTGAAAATATTGATATTAAAATATTGACATTGTTCAGTCTCTTAAGTTATCTTTCAGTGGGTATAATATAAAAGCCATTAAAAGTTAATAATCTCTTATAACTTAAAGCAGTTATTTACCATTGCTCAAAATTATCCCCAGATTTATCCCATTTCACTATGTCTAATTAGTGAAAGCAAAGGCAAAACTTATAAAGGACTGAATTATATGAACCTTATTAAACGAGCATCCCAGCTTTGCTGTTCATATAGATTACACTGGAGTCATAAACAGCACATATAATTCTAGTTATTCTTTCATACCTATGGGAACAAACTTTTTAAACATTTTTTTCTTGCAAACACAGGTCCACAGCACAAGCCTACACTCATCTACTCTGAACTGAGATTCATAGTGCAATGGGCCTTATACCCATGTAAGTATATATAGGATTACAGCTACATTGTCTGCCAACGTGTGGGCAAATCACAATGTAAGCTACTGTAAATGTCTATTATAGAACTATGAATAACTTTAGCTATCATGTGATCAATGAGAGCAAGATGAAGGCTGCTCATCCTCAAAGAATATCTATAAGCCAGTTTCCAACATCTCATCATATGTTAGAACAGAACCCCTCTTGCAATTAGAGACAGATCTTTGGTTCTAGTTTACTAAAGGTGTGGTCACAATAGTTCATGTTTTCATCATGAAAGTTACTGCCTTTCTGACTTTTAAGAATTAATTAAGTTACATGAGTGTGGGACTCAGGAACCACAGTCACTCAGCCTCTTTTGGGCCCTGTTTATTTTGGTATGTGAAACTCTAACCACTTAATTAATGTATTTAAAGCTTTTGTATTCTGCCCTTCACAATGTCTCAGGGTGGTGAGACATTTATTTGTAAGAAAAAAACACAATAGTTACCAAATAGTTTATTATTGTTAGACAGCATAATATGACAATATACAAGCTTAGAAAGGTAGGTTTGCATAACAAATAATGACAAACATAAAATATTACAGTGCTGATGCAAATTGTGTATAGAAATAATCAGATACTCCAAAGTACATTGTAGTCTCATATTTCTATATGTAGGAAAACCATTCAGAATCTTCAACTCTATCATGAATTGTTCTCGTATCCAAAATTTTTTCAATCAGAATTGGCTGAACTTGTTGAATTTCATTGTTCAGATTCCAGGATGTCTTCAGATGTGTTCAGTACCTAACATTTTAATTTTCTTAAAGATGGTGGACTCTGTTTTGTTTTGTTTGTTTCCTTCTAAACTTGCTTTGATTAGCCTTGTTTTCTACGCTTCCTTATTAGGAACATCCTTTTGAGAGCTTTCCCCTTTTGAAGAGACAGCAGCATCCATTTTCTAACCAGTTTCAAAAGGATGTATTTACATTATACAGTATGACACCTATACACCTGGGGGGATGGGTTTCAAGCTCCCCAGCAGATGCCTGAAACTGGGATACTAGCAAACACTGTATACTGTACAGTCAGCCCTCTATTGGGGTGTTGGGGTGCAGGATGCCCATAAAAGTAGAAAAATGATAAACTCTGTTTGGGGATGACATACTCTTTGTTTTGGTACTAGCCAGCCTCGCTCACATGTGTTGTCTCTCAATGGGTATGAAGAATCTAGAGCTATTACTGGTTTTTTCCCTAGAGATATTTGTGGTATTTCCACTTTCATCGGTGTCCTGTGCCCCTAAGCCCAATGAATGTGGAGGGCTGCCATCAACCACAGTTAAGTGAAACTGTGGTAACTGAGACAGCAGATATGGGGGTTCTTTCACAGTAGTAATATAGAATGTTAAATGTTATGCAGCAAGATTTGTACTCTTGATCAAATACTTAAGACTATCAGCATCAGTAATGATATTCGAGTGTCTATCCCTTCAGTTTGTTTGCCAGAGTACACTGTATGCTAGAGGAAAATGGTAGCATCCCTCTCAGTACCAAAAGTCAAGGTTTTATCATCTCAAAGAGCTGCAAGTAGTTTGATTTAATCAGTTCAAAGTACCTTCCTGAGGGGAAAAAACCACATTATTTTCAAGAAACTGTAGAAACAGCTTGTGGAATTTGAACCCATTAGAACATGGAAGTCAGGTATGTTGAAAGAAGCCAACATTCTGATTTCAGCAATAGTCTTCCTTATGCTGATATATCTGTTGAACTACTGGAATAAATGAGTGTTTCTAGGTGTATCAAGATGAGTTCGTCTATATACATTGATAATATTCAATAAATGTATCTATAAATAAATGTGTCTTAGTAGTTATAAAAGTTCCCCTATAGGTTCCAGTGGTTGATTGTACTTAGCATGCTTAACATTGATGAAGCTGGATCCTAGAAGAATCAAGCGTACAAGTCAACATGGCTGTGGCTGTTATCCAGGAAGTTCTAAAATGGCTTCTCTGGTGCCATTTTTTGATCATCCGTCCTACAACTGCCAGCATTCCCTGCAATTCCCAGGAAAGCTGGCCAGAGAATGCTAGTAGTTGTGTGTGTGTGTGTTGGGGGGAGGGTTGGTTTAAAGAGGTGCATATCTGGGCCCAACGTACCTGAAATTTACATGAAATAGAGGAATGCAAGATACTGGGAAGAAAGGCTATATTCCCCAGTTAGCCATACTGGGGACTGAAGGACTTCCTTGGTCGAATTGGATTTCAGGAGAGATGGTGCGGCACAGTGGTTAGGACTGCCAGACTGGGGCTCAGAAGATCTGGGTTCTAGCCCCCCCTGGCCCCCAGCCATGAAACTCTACCTTTGGGCCAGTCACTACTCAGCCCAGCCTACCTCAAAGGGCTGTGGTTGTGGGGATAAAATGGAACTGTTCCTCTTAAGTGGAAAGAAGGCAAGACATAAATGCAACATATTAATTCCCATCGGTTCAGTACTGCAGCTATAAATCTGAAGGAGTGTCTCCCCTATGTGCCTGCCCATCCCTAAAGATCTGGGTCGGAAGTCCTCCTTCAGGGGCCCTCTTTGAAGGGGATTAGGAGAGTGGCTACCCAGAGAAGGGCCTTCTCTGTGGTGGCACCCTGGTTATGAAACAAGCTTCCCAGAGAGGTTCTCTCTTTATCCTTTTGATGCCAGGCCAACCCCTTTTTATTTTCCCAAAATTTTAAGGTTTAATTGTTATTTTAATTGGAATTTTATAGAATGATGTGACACTGTGCTTTATTTATTGTAAGACTGTCTTGAAACTTTTGTAATAAGACGGTATAGAAAAGCAATAAATAAATAAATAGATAGATAGATAGATAGATGTGGAATAAATGAGGTATGCCTTGCTTACTTCATTCCTGCTTTGCTATCCCTTCAGGAAATGATCCTGGTCACCCAAGTGCTTATCAAACACTATTAGTATTTCCATTAATATCAGTGCACTGGTCCCATGTAACTACACCCATAGAAATTCTCACTATCTTAAGGGTAGTTCCATCATTTTTATTTCAACAATTAACTGTTAATTGTTTTGGCTACTAGTTACAGGATGAAACATGCAATCTCTTCATCTGCAATCTCTTCTATTTGCTTTCAATCACTTCCAATGCCACTGAGTCATCAAGAATTGACACAACAATTATGTACCAAGAAGGAATTCTTTTAAATATGAGTAGTCACATGGACAGGTAGTGTCTTTTTCATGCTGATTTACTGAAATTTCTGCTATCACGACAGCTTGTATCCAAGATTCAATGGAACTTATGTAGAAGCTTTAACAGCAGCATAACAGACTTGAAGGCACCCATTGGTAACCTGACCGTGTTGTATCTGGCTCCTGTTGACCTAATCAAAACTATTTTGGAATAAAATGAATGGTCACTGCTTGTATTTATTCCAGCTAAGCTCATTTTTGAGGAACATGTGCAGATGAACATGAGCTATATCAGGCAAGTATTCATAATGTATTTTACATGTATTTACTGTGATTATTTTCTTGTTCAATATTATCTATGAATGGTATGGTTTAGTTTGATGATCTTCAAAATCCTCTCTACATCTACATTACTCAGTCACTGCATTTGCTTGCAGGATTCTTCAGGATTTACACCAATTGACTGGACAATATTTCCACAGCCACACCTACCTTCCATTATATATAATTGCCTATTTCCCCAAAATTTATGTGCTATTATATGCTTAATTTGGCATGTAAACCTATGTTGTATGTGACTTTTATGTTACTCTTTATTAATGAACATCGTATAATCATTGTGTTCAGGACTGTGTCCAGTTCTGGGTACCTACATTTTAAAAAGACGCAGAAAAATCTAGAAAGGGGACAAAGGAGGACTACAAGGATGATTCAGGGACTGGAGGTACAGCCCTATGAGGAAAGATTGAGAGAACTGGGCATGCTCAGCCTCAAGAGAAGACTGAGGGGTGATATGATAGTACTCTACAAGTACCTGAAAGGCAGTCATAAAGAGGAAGGACAAGATCTCTTCCAGAATAGTGAACTTAAAAGAAACCAGTTTTAGACTAGCCACCACAAGAATATCCTCACTGTTTGACAATGGAACATTTACCTGGGGAAGATGTGCGCTCTCCCTTGCTGGAGATATTCAAAAAGTGTATGTGCAGCCATCTGACTAGGATGTTTTAATTTAAGTGTCCTGCAATAGAATGGAGTTGGACCTGATGGCCTTCTTGACCCCTTCCAACTCAACTAGTCCATGATTTGAGGTCCTCTCAGATTTCTATAAGAAGGTAAAAGCATTTCTCACCAACAACTGTCCTTGCAATGAATGAAACTCTTTTCTCATACCTCTCTGCAGCACTTGTTGAAATTGCAGTTGTTACTATGCTCATTGATGTGACCTATGAAAACACTATGGTAGCAATTTACCGTTCTTACAAATGCATTTTCTTTTACATAATGAATATTTTGCTGCCCTATCCAAGTTACTGGGGTTTTTTTAATCACATATTAAACTACCCAATAACTAAATTTATAATGATATTGTCCTCCAAAGTTTTCTTAGCTCAGTCCTCTGCAAATTCAATTATCCTTGTTCTTTTGCTGGGAAAACTCTTGCAAATAAAACAGAATTTTCATTCGTTACTCTTTTGCTTTCATACACTGGAAGAGATGGTAAGTTAGCTGTTCCTATCATACTGCTCCCAAGATACTCTGGACTGCATCTTTCATCAACTCTAGCCAAAATTAGCAGTATTTATTTATTTATTTATTTATTTATTTATTTAAAGCTTTTGTATGCCGTCCTATTATACAAGATCTCAGGACGGCTTACAATATTTAAAAAACAAATAAAACAACAATTTCAATAAATAATAGAACAGAACAAAGCAATAAATCACAAAACAGAGTGACCAAATGTAAAAGCTATTAAATTTTAAAATACTGTTTAAATAAAAAGGTTTTGGCCTGGTGCCAAAAAGAACATAAACTTGGCGCCAGGTGTACCTCTCTGGGGAGTACATTCCAGAGTCTGGGCGCCACAGCAGAGAAGGCCCTACTCCGAGTTGATGACCTTTTTACCTCTCTTAGAGATGGTTCCCAGAGCAGGACTTCTCCCATAGCTCTTAAGGGGCATGAGGGCATATAAGGAAGGAGACGTTCCTTCAGGTACTTAGGGATGATGGGAACTGCAGTTCACAGAAGGCTGGAACAGTGATGCCTACATACTGGACAAACAGCATTTGGTGCACATAGCACTTTGAGATTGTAAGATTGTACAAAAATGGTAGGCAGGAGCTCTGAGGATCCATACAACTTTAAATCAATGTAATTAATGTGCTTGATATAGGTTTGCTTGATATAGGTCTACATGCTATATTTTAGGAAAATGAAAATGGTAGTATCAACATTTAGTTCAGAAGTCTCATCAGATTAAGTGGAAGGTGACATATTTCATGATTAATACTTGCCCATTACATTTGTGTTGAACCTATATGGTAGGATGCTAAAGTTTTTCCATGGTGGACAGACAATCATAATATTCAGAGACCTTGTGGGAGGCACTAATTTTTTATGATTAAGGCCTATTAATTGCCAACCTATCTGCTCTATATGAACATCTCATATGTGTGTGTGAGAAATATTATTCTTTCCTTTCTTTAATGACTCTGATTTGGCTTTTCATTAATAACTATGACTATTTGGATATAATCATATGCATGTGTAAAAGGAAAAAAAATATTACAGTATCCAACATACTAGGAATTGTGGGACACTTTCAGTTTAAGCATACATAGCACAGTGCCCTTGATTAATTAAGGTAAATTGACATGCATGAGAAAAATGTTGGGCTCCAGTTCCATACAGGTGATACTCATCATTTTTCAGCATCCTTTCTGGATATTGGTGATTTAACAGTTGGATAAACCAATTTGCTAAATAATATTGCAAAACAATGTACAATTAGGTTTGTGAAATTATACTTCCAAGCTAGGTGAGCATACAGCAATTCTTCCTCACTGTCCTAGCAGAAATGTCTGCTAATTAAGAATTATTACTTGTTATGATTGTGAGATACTGGGATGTTGTACCTCAACAGCACATTGGTGAAGATATTGGAGAGTAACTGCATCACTGAAAAAAGAACCTTAAAAGGAACCGATGATTCTAATGTAACTTCATGATATGTGTGGAATTATAGGGTATGTGTTTTACTGATTGTTTGATTCATATGTGCAGTTTAACTATGTTAGTTTGAAATAAGGGAGTGGCTTCTTTTACTTTTATTTTAAATGGCTCTCTCTTGTTCCAGTGTATCAGAATTGACAGAATACAACAATTCTTTATTTACAGAACATAAAGCTTGTCCCTTTGTTGTGGATGAGAGTTGGGTTGCCAACTTTGTGGCCTGAAGGCCTAAGCTTTTACTTGCAACAGCAAAAGTTAATATGGGATGCCAGGAAAAGCTTCAGCAGTCAAGTTCTGTCTACCCACAGCTGATAAAGACACTGAGGCTGCAATACTATACACATCCAGGAGGAAGTCCTACTCAGCTCCATGGAACTTAATTTCCAGAAGATATGTGAAGCTCTGCTGATATTGGTTTCAATTATATTGTAATTTTAATTTCTAGTGACAAGAGCTTTCACATTCTAGTTCAGCTTGTACAGCTGATCTTGAAACATCAGTCTGGCAATCCCAAGATATCTGGATGCTTTCTCTTTCTTAGGTACCTAAAAATTAAGAATAATTGGACTGCAAACCTCTGCATACTTCCCAGAAATAAGCCCCACTGAACACCTATTTCAATGGAAATAAACATTCATATAGGATTGTGCTGTAGAAATAACAAACCTAGCATTTATTTAGAATTGTTCAAGGGATGAAAGCGTGTGCATTATATTAAAAAAACAATAACAAGTGCAACCCAGTGTAAACGGCGTTTCTGGGAGACGCTTGCCTAATTCCATCTAGTGCGGTGACCTGTATGACGCCTTTTTCGTTGTCACTTGGCCCTCATGAGAGAGCAGTCGCCTTCAACTAGCCTATTACAGAATTTAAATTTTTCGGGTCGTGACTTGCTAAAATGTTTTCTCTGGAGACATACATGTGTTCGCCGTAGGAAGAACTCATTCTACTTCCTTCCCTCAACCAGCACTCCTCGCCAATTCGTGCATTAACGAGGGCCGGTCTCCCGAGGGCGGGACGCACCCATGTGACTGACCGACCAGACGGGGAGAAACGGCCGCCCCCGACTAGCGGCGGCCTACCCGGGCCCAGCAGCGGCGGCTCCGCTTTTGAGTTTGTCGCTGCCGGGCCCGGGCGGGTGAAGCCGCTACTCCATGGGGAGGCCGGGTAGCCCCCCGCAGACCGAGACCCGCTGCCCACTATGGGCGCTCCCGGAAGAACTGCTGTTGCTCATCTGCTCGTACCTGGACGCGCGGGCCTTGGGCCGCCTGGGCCAAACCTGCCGCCGCTTATGCCGCTTCACTTCCCGAGATGTACTGTGGAGGCGCCTCGCCCGTTCCTGCCTCAACGCAGGCTTCAGCGCTCTCGGCGTCGACCTGTAAGCACCTAGGCTGGGAAAGGCTGGTTGGGAAAAGACGGGGCTTCACGGCCTAGCCGGTTGCTAGGGGGCACCCCGTAACTAAGGCCACGCCTGCTCTATCAGGAGAGGAGGGACGTTGCCGAAGCGTCGGTGCTGCGGGAAGGAGAAGAGGAGCGGGAAGAATGATCGTTGCCGATTACCCAGAGGATGACTTCGCGGAGGGGCGGAGATATGTGTCGGGACTCCTAATGGATACGACACAGGCTGAGATGCAATTAGTTCAAGGGCTGACTTGTTGCCTAATTTCCTTCTCCTGCTGGGGTATATTAGCCAAGGTTTGAGCTATGCTGCTTTGTGCCTGGAATAGCCTGACATACCTGTGCCATTTCGTGTAGTCCACACAGCCTTGGACTTGATAGTTCATAAGAGGCCCAGTCTCTTTTTACTAGGGAAAATGTGATCGCTTGCCCACAGATTAAACCCGGAGGGACATTTCAGGCCACACTCATAAATGAGTGTATGTGTAATCAGCTCTCAGAACAGTGGGTCTTGTAGAACAAGATACCCCAGGTATAGCCCAGATGTTGCTAGGCTGCTTATCCTACAAAACTCTGCCAGTGTGGCCAGAAGTAAGAGTTGATGGGAGTTAAAGTCCAATAACATCTGGGGGCCACAGGTTCCCTACCCCTGCTGAATACACTTATGTAGGAGTAAGTCCTATTGAACTCAGTGGGACTTACTTCTGAGTAGACATACTGTTTCCTGCTCTCCTGTCTGTCCAGAGATGTGATAGTTTCTGAAAAATGGGATGCTTAAGGGATTTTCTTATGCCTACCAGCTGTAGCACAAGTTGTGTGGTTCCTGTCTTTCCTCATGATGAGGAATGTGCCCATATATCTGCAGAGCGAGGAGGTAAATAATGCTATACAGTGCCTGGCTTTTTCAGGGTATAGAATAGTGCATGCATTATTCACAACTACACTTCAGCCTGTCATCAGCCTGGCAGTTTCTGAACCATGGTAAATTCTGTTTAGCTGTTGGACCTGCAGTTCCAGTTCTGCACACTAAAGGCAATACATCTTGGGATGCATAGATAAGCTCTTTTGTTTTGAACTTGTAGTAGCTGGTGACTGGACAGTCCTAGGCCTAACAGTGTTGTCACATGATATCCCTTATGTGATCTCAAATAAGACACTCATGGATGTTTTTAATCTGATCCATCTTGTACTTTAATTTGATTTATCTATATGGTAAATTAACAACTGAGTTAAGGCAGGGGTGGGTTTTTGAAACAACTGAACTATATTGGATCTATATTGGAGGAGCCTATAGATCAGGGGTCTCAAACTCATGGCCCGTGGGCCAATTGCTGGGATGGGTGGGGCACGGGGGAGGGGCCCTGCGGCCTTCAAAGTGCCGGCTGTGCCCGGGCCAGCCGCGGGATGAGCGGCCCACCAGCACCGCGGTGGTGGAATACTTGATGTGGCCCAGCCTCACCCAGACTCTACTTCCAGCAGCCCCCAGGTAAGTTGAGCTTGAGACCCCTGCTATAGATGATAGGATATTGAGTATTCTGCAGCTTCTCCATCCTCCTTCCCTACCCCACTGAGCTGCACTGTTGCATGGAGTTTCTTTTGTTGATGTTGTACCTTCCTGTGTATATAGCATTACATTTGTAATTAAGTGGAAATGGGTTGGTTGTAGCACCTGGTAATGTGGTGGCCTGCTTTCTTTGATTTTTTGGTTAGATGTGTCATGAAAATGCCTCATGGGATAGGTGGATGCTAAAGCAGTAGCACAACTTCTGTGTGGGTTAACACTTGGCAGCATAAGACCAGAGTTAAAGATAGTTTACGTTGACTGAAACTCCATAAGGCCAGGAACTTGTGCGTTGTGATCAAAGTGCAGTGTCAGATATTGTGCTTTTCTTACAGTGTATCATCCAGGCATCTTCAGGTTCCTTTGGGTGTTCAGGAAGGGTGCTGTTGCACTCACATCCTGCTTGTGGGTTTCCTGTGAGCAGCTGGTTATCCACTGAGTGAACAGAATGCTAGACTAGATGGACATTAGGTCTGATCCAACATGGCTCTTCTTTTATTCTTAGTCTCAAGTCTAGGTTAGGACAATGGAGTGTCTAGAGTCATCAGAGATGCCCCACGTTACCCTAGCCCTCTTTTGCCAAAACGAAACCTTTGAGACTTGCCCTTTTGCTAAAATACTCCTGTGAGTTTGTTGCTTACATGAGTAACTGCCAGTGTGGATTAGATAGTGAAAGGGGCTCCCTTCCTAGTAGTAAAGCTAGATGCTTCCTAAGGTGTTACAGGAAGAGGCATCACTGCTGACCAAGGAAAAGTATGGGCATATGGAGGTAAGTTGTAAACAAACTCCATTTGTTCAAAATTTTACCAAATCAATGAAAGGCACACTTCTCAAGAAGTTAGAATAATGTATATCAGCAATTTCCATTTGAATTTGAGAGAAATACATGATATGCTGAGATGCAGCTTGGATTAAAAAGTACAGATGTCCCAGTGTATCAATTTTCAATTTGTTGTACCTTTGGTTTTACAGTTTGTACCATTGTAGATCCCATTGGGTAACTTACAGACAACAATGTTCAAGTTATTAGTGCGACATGTGTCATTTTTGTAAACAGAAGAACTTTGAGGCTCATAATGGTGGCAACCTTTTTGTGTCTCAGCGAAAGGGGCACACGAGTTTATTGGGGCAATTAAGTTTATTGCAGTGGTAATGAAATAAATAATAATTCATAATGAGTATAAGGAGGAGCCATAGCTCAGTGGTACAGCCCATGTCTTTTATTTAGAAGGCGCAAGGTTCAGTTCTTAGCATCCCCAGTTACAGGATCTGAGGAAATATAACTGGGAAAGAAACCTTAAAAACCTTTGACTGTTTCTGCCAGTCTGTATAGATAATACTGGACAAGGTGGGCTAAGTATGTTTCTCTGTTTACTAAAAAGGCATAACCAATTTCAGATCATTTAACCATGATCTGGTTAAATATCAAGAGTACCTGCTTCTTCATAATGTTACCTGATGTGTCCCTTAACTGTAGATAAGTGGGGGAGGAAGTGGCCTATCTTTGAGTTCCTAACCATATTATAACTTTATAAAGTATTTCAGTATTTATCAATTACAGTATTTTCCCTTAAGTGTGAGTTAAGAGCCACTAAGGGCACAATCTTATTTATGTTTAGACAGAAAAAACTCCTTCAGCTCCCACATTCCCCACCCAGCAGGATTTTTTTCTGTGTAAACATGCACAGGGTTGCTACCTGAACCATTATTTAACCTGAAATAGGCCTTACTGGGTTTAAGTAATATTATTTAGACTTCATTATTGAAAAAAGTAATTTGGGTGGCCCTGAACAGTATGAAATTAGCTTAAAAACTTACCATATTTTTTGCTCTATAAGACGCACTTTTTTCCCCCTCAAAAGTAAGGGGAAATGTCTGTGCATCTTATAGAGCGAATATGTGTGTGCAGTAAGCCTGTCAGATGTGCAGCCCATGGGGAAGTGATGGGGAATGTGCCTGTAATTATGTGCCCATTTGATTCAGAATGTTTTTTTCTTGTTTTCCTCCTCTAAAAACTAGATGCGTCTTATGGCCAGGCGCGTCTTATAGAGCGAAAAATACGGCAGTTACTCATTCCAAAATCTCCTATTGTTCTAATTTGTTTAAAATGCTCTTGAATGGAACACCAAGGAGAATCACCAAGCTCAAGTGTTGTGGAAGGTAGTAAAGACAGGAAATTCCCTTTACATGTGTGTCTTGGGCAATAGTTGCATTGAAATACGCATGAGTGCCGGCTGTAGGATTTTTGTACCTTTCAACATATGGGATCTGCTTTCTGTGCTATATTGCGTTTCCTTCTGAGGAAAGGAGTTTTTGTATTTTTCACTAAGAATAAGCTCTACGCTGGATGCAGGAGGGATCATATGTACAGCACAAGTGCAGTAGTTGGCGGGGCTGCTGCTCTTACTTCCACAGTGATAGGCAGGGCAATAAGCTAACATTTTAATAAGCTGAGGGGAATGAACCAGTGTTGAAGAAGGGTTATATAAATTTCTGAATTGAATTTAAATATTCATAAAATTTACTTGAAGAGTCTCTTTGATTGCGTTTTCATTGTATAGTCTCTTCTTGTATCTGATATTATGATGGTGGCCCTCAGTGGACACAACAATAAGCAAGAGTTCCAGAGAATCCTGTCTTACCATGTTGTCCAAGCCAGGTCATTGTGAATGGTGGTGGGAAGATGGTTAGGTGGTTAGATGTTGCTACCTCCTGAAGTTGTTTTTGATAAGAACTGAGTGGCATCATGATGTTTCATAGGCTTGAGTGAGTGATTGGTAATAATATCACTTTTTAAACTGACACAAATCACTTGCTGACGTGACTTTGAATAAGGTAACTGCTTCCCTACTGCTAATAGGTACCCGTGCAATCTTTCTAAGACTTGATCAATACATATTAGAGAAGCTTCGAGGGTGATTCCAACAAGAATACAACACATAAACTACATGTGTATAAAACCATAGCTGAGCTTTTCAGTAACAGTCTAGTTCAGAATGCTACAACCAGGCTATTGGCCAGGACTGTTTGTAGGAAACATTTCACTGGCTACTGGTTTGCATTGGACCACAGTTCAAAGTGCAGATCTACTACAAGAGTTGAGGCCAACTTACCTAAAAGGCTACATTCTGCAGCATGAGGAGCCCCAGGTTTTAGGACCTTTGGGAGTGGCCCTTCTTTTTATCTGTAATTGTTTGCTGAAATAGCTCCGTATCCCTTTCTTTAATGAGCTTTTTATCAGTGGGCAAGAGTATTTTTATTTACTGTAGGCAGAGCTTTGGCCTCCTAAACTGACTGTTGTGGCCAGTGTAAATGTTGCAAAAGCATTTACAGTCAATAAGACTGAATGTTACATTAAGTTAGTCACGAAGTTGTGTCCAACCCATCACGACCCCATGGACAACATTACTCCAGGCTCT